GGGGGGGGGGGAGCGAGTGCTCACAGAGCTGATGGCTTACATTTTATGTGCCCAAGGACTATCGGGTTCTAAAGCAACAGTTTGTGTCCCCAAATCAAAGCTCTATCTGCCCAGCCGGGCCTGGCTCAGCGGTTGAGCATCGACCTAGGATCTTGGAGATCGGGGTTCAATTCCCTGTCAGGGAGTTTGCCCAGGTTGCGGGCTCGATCCCCAGCAGGGGGCGTGCAGGAGGCAGCCGATCAATGACTCTCATCATTGATGTTTCTATCTCTCTCCCTCTCCCTTCCTCTCTCTGAAATTAATAAAGACATTTAAAAAAAAAAGCTCTATCTCAGTGAGCACATGCGTGCACATACCTACAACCCCCACCACACACACATATTTGTTACTTTAAAAACATTGCAACCTACCTTAATCCACGAATCTTCCTCAAAATACGTAATAAGGAAGCGATCATTACAAGAACACTGGCAGATATAAGTCACGTAAAATTTTTATAAGACAGATTTAAAACCACCATCACTCCCTTTTGTCAATGAGAACACCAAGGCAGGATGTATTTTTTAATATTCCTTTTACAAAGAAATGATCTGCACCAAAAGAATTACTTTTAAAGTAAACAGAGACTTGATACGGCCTCAGAGTCCCATTGAATCCGAGTATTATTTTAAACGGGGCTACATAAGTGACTGTGGGTCCCCACTGCTCCCGCAGAGGGAGGGGACACAGGACCGGGGACACGCACAATAACTCTTTCAATTCACCGTCCACTTGAGTTTCTTGTCATTTCCTTATGTCGCAGATCAAGCAGCAGTTATTTCCTCCCAAGCTCAGACCTGTTTTAGGAAAACTCCCTCCTGAGCCTCTGCAGTTATAGATTTTAATTTTCTCTCAAAGGGTAAGAGCAGACACACCATAAGCTCTACATGCATCATGACGTCTTTTATACGGACTCACACCTAAAACGCACAAGTGTCTTTGAGGCCCAGCCACCACTGTTCTAGAACCACATTCCCTCTTCATGAGCCTCCCTCATGCCGGCCGGCGTGGCTCAGTGGTCGAGTGTCGACCCATGGTCCGGGAGATGGCTGTCCGGTCCTCAGTCAGGGCACTCGCCCGGGGAGCCGGCTTTATCCCGGGTCGGGGGCCTGCAGGAGGCAGCCACTCAATGACTCTCGTCACGGATGTTTCTCCCTTGGGTGCATTCACTCATTCATTCATCAAAATTTTAAGTTCATGGTTCAAAAAAAAACAATCCAGGTGACAACCAACAGACCTAAAGGTCATGGGGTCACCCAGAACCACCCTCGTTTGCTTGACGCAAACATGACAACAGATTTCTATACAAACTTGGTAAAGATTCGGTTCCCACGGGAAGTCCCAAAGGGCACATCTGCACAGGACCATTTGTTTTTTGGATTGTTTTGTTTTTTGTCTTTTTCGCCCATTTCACAGTTGCATTTCCTAAGAAAGACAATAAAGACAAATTTCAAGCCCCATGACCAAAATCTAAAATATGTCTGTGAATTATGATTTAGAGACAAAAGCACGGTTCCAAGAAAGGTCTGAAGTAAGATCCGGTTACAAACTTTCATTACTAACAGGGGAGTTCGGGTAGTTAGCAGAAAACAAAGTGCCCTTTTGTTATTAAAAACGGTGTATAGATAAAGTTAAATATTCCCCCCCCCTTCCCCTTCCATATAATCTCCATGCCAAAACAATAGCAGACC